AACACACAATCCCATATATTTGAATATAAAAATAAAAAGTCCAGAACACAGACTTTTTAAAATTTTGCTTTGCTTTCTTGAGACAGGGTCACCCTGCAGCCACATCTGGCCTTGCTTTCACAGAGATCCACCTGCCTCTGCCTCCTGAGTGCTAGGATGCATTAAGGCATGTACCACCACACCCAGTTTTTCTTTTCTTTCTTCCTCTTCTTTGGTCTTTTTGAGACAGAGTCTCCCTGTAGCCCTAGCTGGCCTGGAACTCACTATGAAGACCCGGCTGACCTTGAAGTAACAGAAATCCGCCTGCCTCTGCCTCCCAAGCGCTGGGATCAAAGGCATGTGCCACCACTTGTGGCTGCATTTTAGGTTTTAAATTAAGATCTTTGATCCATTCCAACTTGAGTTTTGCTCAGTGTGAAAGATACAGATCTAATTTAATTCTTCCAGTTTTGCGAGCACCATGTTTTTGCCTTCTTTGTCAAAAAATAGATAACCAAAGCTTTGTTGGCTTATTTCTAGGTTCTCTGTTCTGTTCCACTGGTCTTCTGTCTATTTTTATGCTAGTACTAGGCTGTTTTTGTCATTATAGCTCTGTAGTATAATTTGAGGTCTGGTATTGTGATACTTCCAGCTGTATTTTTACTCTGTAGGATTGCTTTGGCTGTTTGTAGCCTTTTGTGGTTCCATATGAATTCTTGGGTTGTTTATTCTAAATCTGTGAAATATGACATTGTAATTTTGATGGACAGTGCATTGAATCTGTAGATAAATTTTGGTAGTATAGATATTTTTATGATATTAATTATGCCAACCCAGGAGCATGGAAAATCTTTCCATTGTCTAATGTCTTCTTTGATTTTCTTTTTCTGTGTCTTGAAGTTTTCATTATAGGGGTCCTTTACTTCTTTGGTTGGGTTTATTCCAAGGTTATTTTTATGTTTTGAGCTATTATGAATGGGATATTTTCCCAATTTCTTTCTCTGAGAGTTCATCCTTCTTATATGTGACTGCTGGGTTTATTATTATTATTATTTGTAACCTGCAACTTAATTGTGTTCATTAGATCGAAGTTTTCCAGTACATTCTAAGGGTCTTTTTTAAAAATTTTTATTTTTTTATGTGTATGCATGTATTGCCTGCATGTAGGTAAGTACACCCATGTCGTGCAGTGCCCGAGGAGGTCAGAAGAGGCCATCGGATCCCCTGGGACTGGAGTTACGGACAGTTGTTAGCTGCCATGTGGGTGCTGGGATTCAAACCCGGGTCTTCTGCAAGAACAACCAGTGTTCTTAACTGCTGAGAATACCAGCATTCTAGAGGCAGCGACAGACTGATCTACATGAGTTTGAGGTCAGCTTGGTTTACGTAGAAAGTTCTAGGCCTGCCAGGGCTACATAATGAGACCCTGTCTCAAAAACAAACTTTGGGGCTGGAGAGATGGCTAAGCTGTTTAGGGCACTGACTACTCTGGCAGAGAACCCGGGTTTGAATCTCAGTACCCACCTGGTGGCTAGCAGTCATCCGTAACTCTTAATTCCAGGGAATCCGATACCCTCTTCTGGCCTCTGCAGGCATTGCGTGACATAGGTGCACTTACATACATGAGGGCAATACATGCATACACATAAAATAAAATAATAAATAAAATAATTAATTTTAAAAATTAAATTAGCTACCACCACCATCAAACCCCAGCAGAAGTGAGTGGACCCTAAAGGCACACAACTGTTATCTCAGTACTCATACATACAAAATGAAAGTAATAAATAATTTTCTTTTGGTCTTTTTGAGACAAGGTCTCCTTGTAGCCACAGCTGGCCTGGATTCACTTTGGAGACCAGGCTGGCCTTGAATTCACAGATATCCACCTGCCTCTGCCTAAGGTGTGCGCCATCACACCTGGCATAAATAAAATATTTTTTTGGAAAAAAGCTTTACTGGCTGGTGAGATGACTCATTGGTTAAGAGCACATGGCAGCTAACAACTATCTGTAACTCCAGTTCCATGGAAATCCGATGCCCTCTTCTGACCTCCTCGGGCATCCCACAGCACGGGTACACTTATATGCAGGCAGTACACTCATACACACAAAAATAAAAACAATAAAATTTCAAAAAACAAACCAAACTTTAGACCCAGATGTAGGAAGTTGAAAAAGAACTGTTATCCTCACTGTGTTTTTCTGTCACTTTAACAAAAGACCTTAGAAAAACAAAAGAAGAGAAATTTGTATTTGCCCACTGCCATAGAGGTATTTAGTCCACGATTGACCAGCTCCTTTACTTTTGGGCTCATGGTGAGAGTGTACGTGGTGGAGCAAAACTATTTACTTCCTAGCAGCTAGGCAGGGATCAAGAGCAAGGTATATCTTTCCAGGCTGCACTCCAGTAACCTGCTTCATGAAACTAGTTTTCCCCACATCCCAGTGTTGTCATATAAATCCATCAGGGCATTAGGTCACAGTCCTTATGGTCCAGTAACCCTCCCCTGCGCCGCATACCACCCAGTGAGAAGCAAGTCTTCCACACATGAAGTTTTGGGGGAATACTTCACACCCAAACCATAACAGTCACTATAACAACCAGAATAAACAGAATAAGCTATATCTGACTACTTTTTACCATATTGGCTAGCATATATTAAGCTAGATGTACCTAGTGAGTACTTGAAGTATGACTGAATTTTTAATTAGTCACATGTGGCATTGGACATGGTACAGCACAAGAGACAGTAAAACTGCAATAACCCCAATGTCGTCTGCAAGTCTGTATTTAGTGTTAGGGTTGGCACTCCATGAACAGAAGCAATAAAGAGAAACTCCCCAAAGCCAGCCTATCAGCTAGGGGAGATGGAGGGAAGGGCAGCAGAGCTAGGAGAATTCTCTTCTAGGCCATCCTCCTCCTTCTGGGGTGGAGAGAAAACAAGATAAACTTGGTGCTGAATCATCTTCTAAGGCTCAAAAATGGGAATGGGGACAGGAAACAGTTATCCAGTTATCCAGAAAGTTCATAGTCAGGGCTATGTGTCAGAGAAAAAAATGTCTCACAGGTCACAGAAAAGTACACCATTCCTCTAGAATCTCACTGGAGTCCAACTCCTAGGCCTTGCGAACAGGAATTTTCTCATACATCCTCAAAAAGATTTAAAACCAGTAAGGAATTAGCCCAAATAAAAGTTGCAACAAGACCCAGGTACAGCTCAACTGAAGAGCATATTGATCAGCTCTGGCCCAAAGGATATAAACTCAATTGGAGAGCGTGTGGCTCCAACTCTGATTCAAGGGACATACCCGCTTCTGGGAATAAACACTATTTCTTTCAGTGTCTCTTAACACTTCCGTGCAAAATGATCAGCATACGGGGGCTGGAGAGATGGCTCAGCAGTTAAGAGCACTGACTGCTCTTGCAGAGGACCCGGGTTCGATTCCCAGCACCCACATGGTGGCTACGAACCGTCCTTAACTCCAGTTCCAGGGGAATCCGAAGCCCCCGTCTGACTTCCGAGGCATTGCATGACACGGGTGCACTCACATTCATGCAGGCAATACACTGGTACACATAAAATAAAAATAATAAAATAATTTTTTAAATGATCAGCATACAGTTAAAGATCCTAAAACACCATCAAACTATATTGTATGAAAATAAAAATTTGGGGGCTAGAGAGATGGCTCAGCGGTTAAGAACACTGACTGTTCTTGCAGAAGACCTGGGTTCGAATCCCAGCACCCACATGGCAACTAACACAACTGTCCGTAACTCCAGTTCCAGGGGATCCGACAGCCTCTCTGTCCTCTGCGGGCATTGCACAACACAGGTGCACTTACCTACATGCAGGCAATACACGCATACACATAAAAATAATAAAATCTTTTAAAAAAAGGAAAAACAAAAATTCAGTTAAAAAAAAGATCTTAATACAACTGAAGGCAAAATATGTGATACATAGTCAAGAATATAAATAGTACAAAGCCAGGGATAACCAGATAGTGTTATCAGCCAAAGGCTTAAATAACTATTATTGGAGACTGGAGAAATGGCTTATTGGTGAAGAGTACTTACTGCTTTTTCAGAGGACTCAAGTTCAGTTCCCAGCACCTATATCAGGTAGCTCACAGCTGCCTATAACTCCAGCTGCCTGGTCTAAATAGTGAATGCTAGGTCAGCTGGGGCTACAGGGAGACCCTGTCTCAAAAAAAGAACTACATCTTGTTTTTTTTTTTTAATTTTGTAGATTTTGTAGTTTATAGATTTTGTGGTTTGTTTGGGTTTTGTTTTGTTTTCCACTGTTAGATTGGCCTAGAACCCACTGCATAACCCCAAGCTGGCCTTAAGCACTTGAACCTCCCTCTTGCCTTAGCTTCTCATATGGGATTATAGATATAAGCCACAATACCTAGCTAGCTTCATTTATATATTGATTTAGTATTTATAAGAACAACTCATACTCCAAAAAAGAGTTGGACATGATACCCTTTGGGAGGCTGAGGCAGGAGAATTGTGAATTCAAGGCCAGTCTAGACTGCCTAGAGAGAGCTAGACCAGTCTGAGCCACATAGTGAAATCCTGTCTCAAAACAAATTAAAAAGCCATTTTTATTTCTAGAGATGAAAAAATTTATCAGTTATCTTTTCTTTCTAACTTGACAACCAAAGTATTGTTATGGAAACTTGTATTAAACCTATATCAAAGATGAAACAATTACTGTGGTTGTTAGTTTTGACCTACTTGTCTGTTGCAATTGCACATGCCTTTACTAAAGTTTATTAGAAGGGTAGTTGATGGTAATGCATGAATAGTAGTAATAAGAAAATATTTTCTTTTACAGGGAAAATATTTATCCCCAAACAGAAACCTGTGCAGACTTTTACAGAAGAAAATATATCCCTTGATCCAGAATTAGAAGAAGCTTTGACAAGTGCTTCTGAAACGGAATTGCATGACCTTGCAGGTATCTCCTAAAGCAAGTGAACTTTGAATGAGTATGGGGTAGGGAGAAGAAGGCAGTGCATGCCTTCAGGTATTGTAAAGTCTTTCAAAAAAAAAAAAAAAAAATCTCTTCAGCTGGTGAACTTGTCCCCTCTGAGCACTAAGAGTCTTCAGAGTCAGCTTCTGCCTGTTTTTATCAGGAAAGCCAGAGTCGGGTGAATGGAGAGTAGATGAAGTTAGTCCTAAGCTAGACTCACCACTCTCCCAGCCTTTTCAAATGATGTGAAACATAAACCTTGCAGACACTCATTTTCCTTGATAGAAAATGTGACCTGTAGGAAGACACCAGTACCAGATAATGCCAAGAATTTTAATTTTAAAGGAGAGTTACAGACCTTGGAAAGAGGTAGCTATCACTGGTGACATGTTCCTGGAGGAAGTGAGGACTGGTGGGTTTGAAATGTTACTTTCATCAGATAGTACCTGTGCCTTATTTGTGGATAAGAGCATCAGAAGAAAATTAAGTTTAAAGGGTGCCACTTTCCTAACTGGAAAAATTTAGCAACACATCTGGTATAGTCACTTCTAGTAACAGCAGTTTTAGTATTCTAATCATATCTAGAATAATTGTATTTAATGATTAACAAATGTAAAAATGTTAAGGTTAAGTTGAACTCTCTTTTTTGGAGTATGATGTTCCTAGAAACTTTTAGATAGCAAATAGATCTTTTCCATTTTCTCTCTTAGCCACGAGATGGAGCTAAGCATAGATTTACTGGTTGGGTCAGCCTGCCTCAAGCTGTGTGTCTAAATTAAAACGTGGGGAAACCTAGGTTCTGAAAATAATAAAGGTATTGGTGAAAATTAATTAAGAGTTATTGGTGACTTCTAGTCACTTTCTCTCCTTGCTCTCTAGTGCAGGGCCATAAAGTCTGTTTTTACTTTAGTAGGAAATTGTCTGAAGAATGTTAAAACTAATGATAGAAATTTTGGGTTGCAAACTGGATTCTGTGGCACACACCTGTGATCATAGCTACTTAGATGAGACAGGAGGATTGCTTCAGCCCAGGAGTTAAAGACCTTCCTGGGCAACATAGCAGAACTACATCTCAAACAAAAGAAGGAAGTTTAGGACAGAGAGAAACAAAAATTAACTTTTTTCTATCTTTACAGCTATTCTTGGGATGCACAGTTTGATAACCAGTACACAGTTCTGTGATGTGGTGGGGAGTAGTAATGGTATTGACCAAGAACATTTTTCAAGTGAGTAATTAAAATGCCTGGTGGATTTCAGTCCTTTGTGAAATACATTTTGTTTTCTCCATGTGTTAACAATGGTATCGGTACACAAAATATTACATACACATGTACTTAAAACTTGAATTCAAGTTCAATAGTATTGCCAGACAAAGCCATTGAAAATAGAATGTTTAGCCATTGAAAATAGAATGTTTACCTATAATCCCAGCACTCAGAGCTATAGGCAGCAGGATCAAGAGCTTGAAGTCAGTCTGGGCTGCATGAGACCCTGTCATTCAAAAGAAAGAAGGGGGTGGGGGAGGAAGGAAGAGGAGAGAGGGGGAGGGAGGGAAGAAAAAGGTAAAGAAAGTAAGTAAAGTTGCAGGCTGGAGAGATGGCTCAGCATTAAGAATACTTCCTGCTCTTCCTGAAGACCTGAGTTTATTGCCCAGCACCCATGTCAGGCAGTTTATAGTCTGTAACTCCAGCTCCAGCGGCTCCAGTGTCCTCTTCGTACATGCACCGACAGCCACACACAATTGGGGCACACACACAAATACATACACATAAATAAAGCGTGGGGGGGAGTGTCTTATTTATTTATTTATTTTTCTTTGAGACAAGGTCTCCCTGTAGCCCCAGCTGGCCAGTAATATTTTAGTATTGCTGGTTTTTAAGGAATCCATGGCATTTCTGACACAAAGTTTCTTCTTTAAAAAATATAGGGTGTTTTTAAATTCTCCAAGTAAACATATGCTATTTACAATATTTATTACATAAATATATACAGTAAAACACAAATGTGTCTATTCATAGGCATTACGTAGCTTTCCCTTCTCCTCTGTTAACAAGTTGCTGTATCATTGTAGTATGTTTATTTCAACTGAATTTTTGTAAAGATTATTTTTGTTTTGTTTTGTTTTTGTCTTTTTGAGGCAGGGTCTCCCTGTAGTCCCAGCTGGCCTGGAACTCATTATGTAGACCAGGCTGGCCTGGAACTCACAGAGATCTGCCTGCCTCTGCCTCCCCAGTGCTGGGATTAATGTTGTGTGCCACCACGCCTGGTTTATTTTGTTATTTTTTATTTATGTGCTGCATGTGTATTTGCATGTGTACATGCCAGTACTCTCAGAGGCCAGAAGAGGGTGTTGGGTCCTCTGGAGCTGGAGTTATAGCAGTTGTGAGCCACCTGACATAGGTGCTGGGAACGAATTTGAGTTCTCCAGAAGGGCAGCAAGTACACTTAACCTGAGCCTCACAACTTAATTTTTTAATAATAATGCTATTGATGTTGACAAGGGTTTTTTTTTTATTCTTAATATGGACCATCTTTAATGTGGATCATTCTCAACCCTCACAACAGCTCTATGAAATAGGTATTCTCTTAATTTTCATGTGAGGGAGCCTGGATTTAGAATGATAATGGGTCTTCATGTCACAGAGTCGGCAGTGAGGTTTAACCATGGTATGTAGTGCAGTCATTCAGCAGTGTATCTGTTTCCTAGTGAGTACACACAGATTTATTTCATTCAGACATTGTGTAAACTCCCTCTTGTAATGTTCTGTAATTTGGACATTTCCCTTGGATTTTAACTTTCTATTTTCAGAAATGCTTAAGCATGTGAAAGAAAAAATGAGGTATTCATTTCCTACCTTCAGCTGTTTTAACATTTTGCTAACCTTCTGTCTCACTTTCCACATTTTATAGTTTTTTTTCTTTTACATTTATTTATTTATGTATTGTGTGTGTGTGTGTGCTTGTGTGTGTGTGTACATATGTGTAGAAGTCAGAGGACAACTTGTAGGAGTCGGTTCTCTCCTTCACTGTGAGTTCAGGGTACTTAAAAGGTCATCAGGCTTGGTGGCAAGTGCCTTTAGTCACTGACTCAACCCTGCCAACCCTTTTGAACTTCTTAAAAACCAGTCTTGCAGAGGCAGGCAGATCTCTGTGAGTTCAAGGCCAGCCTGGTCTACATAGTGAGTTCCAGGACTGCTGGGGCTACAGGGGTACCCTGTCTCAAAAAGACCAAAAAAATTAAAAAAACACACCCAGTCCTTTTCATCTTGGTTACTTCATACCCATAAACATTTTTATGCATGTGTCTTACAAATTTCAAAATAAGTTAAAAAAAAAAAAAAGGCATAACATGACCACAATGCCACTCACTATTAAGTTTGAGAATTCTTATTTACATCCTATCATCTGAAACTCAGTCTGAGTACAAATTTCTCTTACTCTCAAAAATATCATTTCACCCTTGCTTCAAATCAGAATCCAAGTAAGGGCTATATGTTGCATTTCTCTCTTCTTTAAAGAAATTATTATTATTATTATTATTATTATTGTTATGTTTTTTGAGACAGTCTCACCATGTAGACCTATGAACCTACTATGTAGACTAGTCTGGCCTTGAACTCACAGAGATCCACCTGCCTCTACCTCCTGAATGCTGGGATTAAAAGCCACCACACCTGGCTTTAAAATTTATTTTTATTTTTAATTTTTTTTCATTTTGTGTGTGCATGTGCACATGTGTGTGCACAGTTGTACACACACATACCATGTTACACATTTGGAAGGTCAGAGGACAACTTATAGGAGTTGGTTTTTTTCTTCTACCATGTGTGTCCCAGGAATTGAACTCAGGTGCTTTGGGCTTGGCAGCAAATGCCTTTACCTGCTGAGCTATCTCACCAAGTCTTTATTTCATTTTTTTTGTTTTTGTTTTGTTTTGTTTTTAGACAGGATCACCCTGCAGCCCCAACTGGCCTGGAACTTTATGTAGACAAGGCTGGCCTCAATCTCACAGAGATCCTCCTGCCTCTGCCTGCTGGGATTAAAGGTGTGTTCCATCACCTCCAGCACCAGGCTCTATCATTTTTTAAAAATTAAAAAAATTTTTTTTAAAATATTCTTGTGTCTTAGTGTTTTGCCTGCATGTATGTAAGTGCACCTGGGCATACAATGCCTGTGAAGGCCAAAAGAGGGTGTCGGATTCCTTTAATTGGAGTTATAGACAATTGTGGGTGCTGGTACCCAAACTGGGTCCTCTGTAAGAGCAGCCAGTGCTCTTACCACTGAGCCATTCCTCCAGCCTCCCAGTCTATTTCTTTTTTTAAGAAAAATTTATTCATGCTCTGCTTCCCTGGGCCTGCACGACCCACAGGCCTCTTTCCAACCCACAGGCCTCTCTGGGGGCTTACACTGAGTTCAATATTGTATAACTGTATTAATTCAACTGTGAACCTAGAACCTTACAGCCACTTGTGAAAGAGATGTACTCTCTCTCTGGAGTGTGTTACTGAATATGTTAAAGCTGTAATGAAAAAAAATTATTTATATTTTATGTGTATGAGTATTATGCCTGCATGTATGTAAGTGCACCCATGTCGTGCATTGCCCTCAGAAGCCAGAGGAAGGTGTTGAATCCCCTGGAATTGCTGTTATGGATGGTTGTTAGCTGCCTTGTAGGTACTGAGAATTGGATCCAGGTCTTCTGTAAGAGCAGCCAGTGCTCTTAACTGCTGAGCCATCCCCCCACCCCCCATCTATTTCTTAGCGGTTCATTGCATCACCTTCATTACTCCTTTTTTCATGGTATTTATTTCATCAGTAAACTGAGTTATATGCCAAATAAAAACTTCTTTCTACATTCTGGATTTGGCTGATAGCAACCCCAGGGTTTTTTTTCTGTCTCCCGTGGTTGGATTCAGAGGTAGGAATTTTTACTTGGTGACTATTGAGGGGAGTAGTAAATGCTTTAATCACATAGGAACCTTGTCACATATATGGTCCCTTACCTTTGCCCAGTGTTGGGACTGATCAGCGAGGAGCTAGGGGTGTGGTGTGGTATGGTGGTACACACCTGTAATCCTTGCACTAGTAGGTCTGAGGCAAGAAGGTTGCAAGTTGTAAGCCAACTTGACTACATAGCAAGACTGTCTCAGAAAGGGAGGGAGGGAAATGAATAGAAAAAAGATCAAACAGTGAGTTGAAATGTTCACAGCCTGATCCATCCACTTAACAGTTCCCTGTGAATCTTTCAAGTAATGATTTTAGCATCCCATTGAACAGATCCATTGTTTCATAAAGGGGCAGAGACCTTTAAATATACCTATTCTTTGGGAAAAAAAAATCCTTTGGTTTATAAAACTGAGAACTCATTCAAGTCTCCATTCAATAAAGAAGTTCTCACCTGCCTCCCATGATCCACTATCTTGAAGAAAACTGCCTTGCTGAACTTAAATGGAAGCAAGCCTACTCTTGCCTTGGTATTTTTATGCTATAAATGTCAACATATAAAGAATGTTTCAGGAGTTGTGCAGAAGGAACTTTTCATTTAGTTGCATGTGTGGCATTGCAGTGGCGGGCAGGAGGTGGAATTAAAGCGTCTCCTCTCAGTACCAACCATCCCAGTCAACTCTTGCTCTTTTTATGTTACTACAGATGTGGTGAAAGGTGAAAAGATTCTTCCAGTATTTGATGAGCCACCAAATCCAACCAATGTTGAAGAGAGTTTAAAGAGAATTAAAGAAAATGATGCCCATCTTGTTGAAGTTAATTTGAATAATATAAAAGTAAGTTGCAATACCAATAACTCTGAAGTTGTTTTGCAACAGTTTGTTAGGCAACTGAACCCAGGGCAGTAACTCAGCAGTTCTGATAGAGTAGTCTTAATAATTTCTGCTTTAAGGTGAAGTTTTTGCTGCTAGCAGTATATTCATAGGCTCCTTCAAAGTTTAGGAATTTCAAGCATTGTAGAACAGTATTTTAGGACTTGCTTTTTTATGAACTTAAGATTTTGGGGGCTTTTTAAAAATCAGGTTCCTAGCCGGGCGTGGTGGCGCTCGCTTTTAATCCCAGAACTTGGGAGGCAGAGGCAGAGTTCTAGGCCAGCCTGGTCTACATAGTGAGTTCCAGGACAGCTGGGGCTACAGAGAAACCCTGTCTCAAAAAGACAAAAAAAATCAGGTTCCTTATTTTTTATTTATTTTTGTCTTTTTGAGACAGGGTCTCCCTTGTAGCCCCAGCTGTCCTGGAATTCACTGTGTAGACCAGGCTGACCTTGAACTCACAGAGATCTGCCTGCCTCTGCCTTTCGAGTGCTGGGATTAAAGGCCTGTACCACCATGCCGACTCTTTATTTTTTAATATAGTAAGTAAAACTCTCCTTTTAGTATATAGTCCTGCGTTTTAACATATGCATAGGGTTGTACAAGATGTAAAATTAAAGTACCACTGTCAAGTTGTAAAAGAAAAAAGAAGAACCAGTATGAAGCTCCTTTGATAGCAGAAGCTCCTCAGCCCCTTCCTGGCCACTCTGCCCATGTTTGCTCCCGACAAGCACCTCCAGAGTGCTTTGTAAATGGAATTATTTGCAACCTTTTGAGTCTAGCCTGTGGCATGATTTGAGATTCACCCTTGTGTGGTGTCAATAGTTTGTTCCTTTTCATTGTGGAGTCATCATCCATCATAGGCTGTGCTGCAGCTTGTTAATCCATGCATTAGTTAGTAGACATGTGGGCTACTTCCACTTTGGGATGGTTTTATATATAAAGCTGCTGCACACATTTGCATACAAGTTCTTACAATAATGTCGGTTTTTGTTTCCCTTCAGTAGATACCTGTAAATGGGCTCTCTGGGATCTTACTGGGATATTTTAAATTGTATTTTATTTACTTATCTATCCATGTAATCAATTTGTGTGTGTGTGTGTGTGTGTGTGTGTGTGTGTGTGTGTTTGTAGGCACACAATGCCATGGTGCATATGTAGAGGTCAGAGGACAAAACTTGCAGGAGTCAGTTCTCTCCTTCTACCATGTGGGTCCCAGGAATTGAACTCAGATTGTCCAAGCTTCACAGCAGACATCTTTACCCACTGAGCATCTCACCAGCCATGATACTGTCTTTGTTGTTGTTTGTCTCCCTAGTCAGTCCACCTAGAAGTCATTATGTGGACTAGGCTGGCCTTGAACACACAGAGATCCACCTGCCTCTCTCTCCTGAGTGATTTCTCTGAACTGTGGCATTGAAAAGAAGGACTCCTGAAATTGCCTGACCCTAGGGAAGGAAGCTCTGTTCTCCTTTAGTGGATTTTCCTTCCACCAAATAGAGGACAGAGAGTCTTTGAGAAAACCGATATTCTTAGTCAATCACTAACCACCTTGATTTTTTTAAAAAAATCAGTGCCTATGTCTCAAGTAAAGATTAATTAATTAACCTGAAAACTACCAGGCTATGGAGACTGGGAGTCTTGATTATGAACCATAAAAGGCAGTGCCTTCTGTTGCTGTGCTTTTCCTCCTTCGTGTAGGGCTAATCTATGTGAATATACATTGTAAATTAAGTGACTGAAAATTAAGTACTGAAAACAATTCGAAATTGGATAGTGAGACTGTATCCTGAGTGCTAGAGAAACAATGGTATGTGTTCTGCTCTGGGTTAGTAGAGAAGTCAAATAGAAGAAGTCACATTGTTTTCATCTAAACTACCTGTTTATATACTTTCTGGGTACATTTTTAAAGCAAACCGTAAGTACAAGTGTATTTGATGGTTGGATTGAACTTCCTGAAAACTAAAATGTAATGGTGTTTCACATTATCTTTCAAGAACATCCCAATTCCAACCCTAAAAGATTTTGCAAAGACTTTGGAGACCAACACACACGTGAAATATTTCAGTCTTGCAGCCACCCGGAGCAATGACCCTGTTGCTGTTGTAAGTACACTACTATTCATAATATCAGTATTAGTAATACCCAAGTGATACCTTCACACCTCATTATGTTACAGTGAGGTTAAACTGATTTGTTTTGGTTTTGGGGACAGGATCTCATATAGTGCAGGTTGGCCTTGAATTCACTGTGTAGTAGAGGATGACCTTGAATTTCTAGTTCTACTGCCTCCATATCCCTAATGCTGGATTTACAGGCATGCACTATCATACCCACTTAAACTATGATTTTTTTCTTTTTAATAGCGTTTATTTTGTGTATACACACATGTATTTGTGCCACAGTGTACACGTGGAAGTCAAAGACAACTTGGAGAAATCAGTTCTCTCCTTCTACAATATAGGTCCCAGGGATGGAATTCAGGTCATCAGGTTTGGTGGCATATCTCACCAACCCTGATTTATGATTTTTGGGGGAGGGGGGCATTTTGAGACAACGTCTCCCTATAGCCCCAGCTGGTCTGGAACTCACTCTGTAGACCAGGCTGGCCTTGAATTCACAGAGATCCACCTGCCTCTGCCTCCCAAATGGTGTTTTTTAAACAATAAATATGGTTTATTCCCTTTTTTCACCTAGTGTTTTAGATCACTATTGGTCAATACGTTATATACCCTTCTGGGTTTTTTTTTTCCCCCCCTCTTTTGGAACAGACAGGTTCTTAAGACCAGGACTTACTTTGTAGCCTAAACTGACTTTGAATTCCTGACAGTCTTCCTGTTAAAAGGGAGAAGAATGCCGGGTGTGGTGGTACACGCCTTTAATCCCAGCACTTGAGAGGCAGAGGCAGGCAGATCTCTGTGAGTTCAAGGTCTGCCTGGTCTACATAGCGAGTTCCAGGCAGCTGGGACTACAGGGAGACCCTGTCTCAAAAAGACCAAAAAATAATAAATAAATAATAAGAGGAAAAGAGAAAAGCATGTCTAGAATCCAACCATTTCTCAACCTTTCTAAGCCATCTTCTCTGGCCTGGATTGTTGCAGTTGCCTCCTTGAGCTTCCTCTGTTTGATCTACTCTAGTATCTCTTTGCCAAGAGGTATTAATGAAACTCGTTCCATACAGAACCGAGACCATGTGAGAGGTGGAGAAAGAGGAATGAAGTAGGGTATGAGTGAGCATGCAATGTCACCTTCATGAGAGATGTGCAGCCAAAGAATCTGAAGACTGCATATGGCCATGTGATGCTGTGCAGCAGTGTGTCAAGCCAGAACAATCAAAGAGAAACTTAAGGAAGTTATATTAATCCATATATTTGCTTACAGCATATACAGCAAAAAATAGATGCTATCAAATTTTAATCACTAAATCTTTTCTCTTAATTTCTAGGCTTTTGCAGATATGCTGAAAGTGAACAAAACTTTGAAGAGCTTGAATATGGAGTCCAACTTCATTACAGGAGCTGGGATTTTAGCATTGCTTGATGCTTTGAGAGATAATGAGACTTTGACAGAGCTCAAGATTGACAATCAGGTCAGTGTTCTACAATAGCAACTTGGAGGAAACTGTAGCCCCTCCCCCCTCCCTGCCTGGGAGGGCTTATAAGAAGGGCTGTCAGAGAGCCCTTTTGGAAAGATGGTGGATGAAAGGGGGTGATGAGACGTGGGACATCCAGAATATTCATGTGTATAAAGGTGCATACACCTCTCCTTAAGTCAGTTAAGTTAGTCAAGTTATATAGCTGGCTGTTTTAAACTGGAAAGACTGATTTATACATGTGACTTAGTCCAATTTTTTTTTCCAGCTCTATGGTAACAAGATCCATACAATAGGTAGACTTTTCCATCTGGTCTACACATACTCACATGCAAAATAACTTATGTTATTTGAAAAAATACTTGGCAGATGCTTCCCTGAGTCCTTCAAAACAAATTACTATAAAGGTAGAAAAGAGGATTGGATCACATCTAAAAATTGAACTAAAGTGTGTTGGGGACCCCTGTTGTGAAGTAGTAGTCTCTCCATGTCCGGACAGCCCATGAGCTCGGTTTCATATGCAGAAGACTCCTTTTATCAACAGAGTGCTTTTCTGGCATCTTCCTGACTCGTCTTTTGAAGTAGCCACCACAGAAACATGGCCTCTGGCTCTGGAAATGCCATGCTTTCCTGTGTGATTTTTCTGGCAGTCTGGCAGTCTGGCAGGAGCCTACTTCCATATGTAAATAGGGCATCTCACAAAGTGCCTATCAGCTAAAGCTTTTACCACTACCCCCACGGTATAAAATGTCCTGGTTTTCTCTCAATATTGGAGCTGGATCACTAGGAACTAGAGCTGGGACACTGAGACTTGGAGCCAAGCAGACCCACTTAATAAATAGCTTTAACACGGAAAGCTGAACCCTGTGTCTCACTGCCTACGATCCAGTCTCGCCGGGGGGCGCTATCCTTCCGTCATCGACTCACGGAGACCTAGCTTTAGCCGCCTCGTACCTCTCCTCGTGACCCAGCAGCTGACGGGTCCCGAACTCAGAGAGAGAGTACACGGGTGAAATTAGGGCGGAACTCGGCCGGGCAAAGCCCTGACAGCAGAGACTTTCAGCACTCAAGCGGCGGACAGCGACGCGGGATGCGACCAGACCCGCCGACCACGGCGGAGAAGCCCGCAGGACCCGCCGCGCCTCTCCAGGGTGCGCGCAGGGGACCAGGGGCCCCGAGATCCCTGCGCGCCCCATAAAAGTGCTTCATAATCCATGTTCTCAAATTTTTGATTGAGACATAACTCAGTATGTGATGTTTGTGATAGCATATTCCACCTAAGTATAATGTTCTGGAGGTTCACCCACACTGCAGCATATATCAGAACTCTATCCTTACATGGCTAAATAGTATTCTATCACATTTTGGACTGTTTCTTACTTTGGGGCTGTTAAAAATAGTGCCATACATATTCACATATAAGTTCTTGTATGAGCATACTCGTTTATTTCTTTAGGGCTTATTCCTAGGAATAGAATTGCTGGGTAGTATGGTAACTGTCTTTTAAGCAATTACTAGTGGTCTAGTTTCCTATGTTCTTGACAGTCACTTTTTTTTTAATGGCCTCAGTGTGTTGCCCAAACTGTTCTTGAACTCCTGGGCTCAAGCATTCCTCTCATCTCAGTCTACCCAGTATCTGGGACTATAGGTGCACTAGTTACCATGCCTGGTGCTTGTCCATCTTGTTTGTTTGGTTTGGCTTGGTTTTCTATTTTGTAGTTTGTTTTTGAGACAGGGTCTTATGTAGCCTAGGCTGGTCTTGAATTTCTGTAACCTTGAACTTCTGCTCCTCCTGCCTCTACTTCCAATGCTGGGATCATAGACATGACTTATTTGGTGCTGGATATCAAACCCAGGACTTTGTGGATGCCAGGCAAGAACTCTACCAAGTGAGCTACCTCCCCAGCTTTTTCATCATACCCATCCTTATGGATATGAGGTAGAATCTCATGAAATACATGTTTTTTAAAGATTTGTTTTTATGAGTATGAATGTAGTACCTGTGGAGGTCAGAAGAAAGTGTTGGATCCCTTGAACTGGAATTATAGATGATTGCTAGCTACCATGTGGGTGCTGAGAACTGAATCCAGGTCCTATGCAAGAGCAGCCAGTGCTCTTAACTATTGAACCATCTCTCCAGCCCTGAAATGCATACTTTTTTGATGTGTATATGAGCATATATTGAACTTTTAAAAAATGGCTTCTTACGTATGTTGTAGAAATTGGGAAAATGTACCAACAGAATGAGCATGTGCCTAGAAGTCTTATGATTTATCTAAAAAATATTTTGGTCTTGTTAATACTCGTTTTGTTTCTAATTCTTCCAGAGGCAGCAGTTGGGAACAGCTGTAGAATTAGAAATGGCCAAGATGCTTGAGGAAAATACAAATATCCTTAAATTTGGATATCAGTTTACCCAGCAGGGACCTCGGACCAGGGCAGCCAATGCCATAACGAAAAACAATGACTTAGGTAAGACATACGCGGTATCAAATCAAGTTTCTGAATCACAGCATTGAACTATTTTAAAAAAGAAATTCTATTTTTTTGTTTTTTTGGTCTTTTTGAGACAGGGTCTCCCTGTAGCCCAGGCTGGCCTGGAACTCACCATGTAGACCAGGCTGACCTTGCTCACAGAGATCCACCTGCCTCTCTGCTTGCTGAGTGCTGGGATTAAAGGCGTGTGCCACCATGCCTTTTCTAATGTCTACTCAGTCCTTTTTATACAGATTGAGTTAGGGTTAAGCAAGGTTGCAGTGATCTTTACCTCTGTTAATCTAACTTCCTATAACAGACCTACCTGATAGCTGTGAGTCTTTGTGTAACAAATGTTTCATTCTTGCTTGTCAGTCCTTGTAGCTGTTGCAACAAAGATTTCAACACCATAGGAAAGGATTTTGCCTTTTTGTCAGAGACCCAAGTCGAAATTCAGTTTCATATTATGAAATAATATAATAATCATAGTTTTAACCCACCTTATTATTAAAGACACCTATACATTTGTTGCACTTACTCTCTGATGAGATGCAGTGTCTTCCCACTGCACATGTCTGCCTCAGTGATTCCTGTTCTCTAATGTTTGTTCTGCTCTTGAGCTTGTCACTTCTGATAGAAATGAACTCTCCAACCATGGCTGAGTTAGCAAATCCAGTGCTCATAATTAATTTCTCCATGTTTCCAGAAACTGACTCTCCTTTTAAGCTATATTTGCCACTAAAATGTTTTACAAGAGTCACTGCAGGCAAGAATGAATAGCCAGTCTCTCAACAGGAGTGGCATTTCATGGCAGTCTAATTCTTTAGGCACAGCCATGTTTGAGTAGCTCCATTCCTTTAATTCAGGTTATATGAGCAGTATTGTTTAAGCCCTCTGTGTCCTTGTATGATGGTTTCCCCCAGGAAATTTTAGCCACTTGCTTTTCAGAAGAGAAAATTGGTGTGCTTTAGTGCACTCTTGATTCTAAATGTGGTTTTCAGTCATCCGAATTGTTTGTGTTAGTTCACTAGTTTGCTTCACTTTTTTCTCCAAGTGTTTGATTGCTATTTAGAGCAATGTTTCTCAAGTGTGGACAAACCTTATAAGAAACTGGAGGGTTTTCAAAACAGATTGTTGGCTTTCCTTCTCGTATTTTATTTTTAATAATGCGTATGTGTGTGGATATGTGCACATGAGTACAGGTGCCCACAAAGGCCAGAAGAGGTCATCAGATCCCCTGAAACTGGAGTTGTGAGTTGTCTAACATGGGTGCTGGGAACTGAACTTGGGTCTTCTTCAAAAACAGTGCACACTCTTAACTGGAGTTGTGAGTTGTCTAACATGGGTGCTGGGAACTGAACTTGGGTCTTCTTCAAAAACAGTGCACACTCTTAACTGCTGAGTCATATCTCCAGATTCTTGTCACACTTTTTAAATTATCTTTTCATCAATTAGTTATAGTTCATTAAAATTGTCTGTTTTCAGATTTTGTTTTGAGTCAGGGACTTTCTGTATAGCTCAGGATGATTTCAAACTTGTGGTGATCCTCCTGCTTCAACCTCCAGAATGTTTTGAATTACAGGCATGAACTAGCACTTAGACTAAAAAAATCTGTTTGGGGACTGATGAGATGGTTCAGTGGTTAAAGCACTTGCCATGAAGAAGCCCAGTGACCTGAATTCAATCCCTAGAACCCGTGTAAAAGTGGAAGGAGAGAACCAATGCCACAAAGTTATTTTCTGACCTACACACACATGCATGTGTGTCGTCATCATCTACATACAATAATAAATAATAAATAAAATAATGTGTTTTCAAACATTGCAGGTTTTTTTGAGGATAGGGATGATGCTGTTACCAGGAGACATGTTCAGCTGTTAAATTACACCTCTCAATAATATTTGATGCATAGTAGATATTTAATTTAATCGAAATGTTTTAAGGGACAGGGTATAGCTCAGGGATAGAGTACTTGCCTAGCATTTTCCAGGTCCTACGTTTGATCTCTAGCACAACCAAAAAGAAAGAAAAAAGGAGGAAAGAATTAAGTGACTAAACAAAGGGGTAGAATTCAGTTATGCTTTTCTGATAACTATATAGACTTAAACTAAGCCAGAAACATCTTTCATTTTCCCTTTCCTATGAAACTACCTTAAATCCCCAAATGCCAGTAGCGTATTGTAGCCCATGGGTCTCTCACAGGTGGATGACCCCAGCAGGAACTGCACAGCTTCAGCCCATAAACATCACAGCAGGGAAGTTAACCTTTGTAAGGTCTCAGCACTTGTGCTCTTATGCCAAGCCAACTGTGGCAGGTGCTCTGCCCAAATTTCTATCAGAAAAGAAATATCCATTGTTAGAGAACAAGAAACTTGGGCAGGTGGATGAGAGGAACAGGTGAGATCCTGGGCTGCCTTATGTGGGTGCTGAGCAGTTGAGCAGCTGTCTACAGCTGTGTGTTCTGAGGATGAGGCAGCCATGTAGAAGACGGTGTGGTCTATCACAAAGCAAAATTGAGAAGCCAACAGCTTTCTGCTGGGAACTCTCAAGACTTCCACTTATGTTGTTCATTCTGATCCAAATTAGATTTGCAGGCATGTGTCACACCTGTGAAATGACAGCAAGGACATTCCTGAACTGGAGGCTGCATGGGTAAAAGTTCAGATGTGAGAGCATGCAGTTATGTATATGCTGAAGACAGCAGTGGGTTTTGGATCTGACAGCATGGTGCTAGGCCTACAATAATCTTAAATACGTGTTAGACTGAATACAGAATTTTTAAAAATTTTTATTTTTATGTGTATGAGCATTTTGCCTGTGTGTAAGTGCACCTGTGTTGTACAATGCCCACAGAGGTCAGATAAATGTGTCAGATCCCCTAGACTGGAGTTATGGGTGGAATGTTAGCCACCATGTGGGTGCTGGGAATTGAACCCTGGTCCTCTGCAAGAACAGTCAGTGCTCTTAACCACTGAGTCATCTCTCCAGTCCCAAGAATGAATACAGAATTTTAAAAGTGATGAGTGTCATCAAGTGTGTAGGGAAGAGAGAGGTTTTATAGGGGTGGGAGGGATTACCAGGAGGGTAAGAGGCAAGAGTAATTAGAATGCATTGGATGCTTATATAAAAAGGCCAAAGAACAAATTTAAAAAGTGATGCCAGTTGGGCATGGTGGCGCACACCTTTGATCACAGCACTTGGGAGGTAGAGGCAGGTGGATCTCCGTGAGTTCAAGGCCAGCTGGGGCAACAGGGAGACCCTGACTCAAAAAGACCAAAAGCAAAAACAAACAAGTGATGCCAGCACACTAGGATGGGGAATGGGGGAAAGGGGAAGGGTTGGTAAAAAATTATAAAGCTACATGATAATTTAGATTTTTTTAAAAAATTTATTTTATGCTGAAGGCATTTGAGAGCTAGTATAGGCCACATGATTAACATGACACTTTAAAAAATATACTCTTGGGGGGCTGGAGAGATGGCTCAGAGGTTAAGAGCACTGCCTGCTCTTGCAGAGGACCCAGGTTTGATTCCCAGCACCCACATGTCGGGTACGAACCATCCTTAACTCCAGTTCCATAGGAATCCGAAGCCCTCTTCTGACCTCCAGCATTGCACAACATGGATGTACTCATATACATGCAGGCGATACACTCATACATATAAGATAAAAATAATAAATAAATTTTTTTTTGGTCTTTTTGAGACAGAGTCTCCTTGTAGCCCCAGCTGTCCTGGAACTCACTATGTAGACCAGGCTGGCCTTGAACTCACAGAGATCCGCCTGCCTCTGCCTCCTAAGTGCTGGGACTACAGGTGTGCACCACCACACCCGGCCATAAATAAAATATTTTTAAAAATAAAATAAAAATATACTCTTGGGGCTGGAGAGATGGTCAACAGTTAAGAACACTGGTTGTTCTTGCAGAAGACCCAGGTTCGAACCCCAGCACCCACATGGCAGCGAACAACTGTCTGAAACTCCAGTTCCAGGGTATCCGACAGCCTCTTCTGACCTCTGTGGGCATTGCACGACATGAGTGCACTTACCTACATGCAGGCAATACATGCATACACATAATAATAGTAAATAAAAAATATATATACTCTTATTAGTCATTCAGAGATTGAAATGAGGTTAATTAGGACTCGTTTACAATTGGCTACTGGTGAAGTATCAGGAATTTTTATTAGTGCAAGGGGTTTTAGAAAGAAAGTGGACCAGGTCCGAAGAATTGTTGATAAACAGGAAAAGGAAAAAAAATTACAGACTGTTATTTAGGGTGTGAACTGGGCGATCACTGGAAGGACACCAGGTGACAAGGAGGAGTCAAAATGGCATTCAGCCCTTTGCTCTCAGCCGCCTTAGGTCTGCTCCCAGCTTCATTATTTTCCAGCACACTATGGCGTCTGCCTATAAATTAAGTCAGAGAGTTTAGAGGCCATGTTTTCTAACACATCTTAGCAGCCTGACAAGGTTTGAATCCTACATAGTGTCCTGGGCAGATATTTTTCTTCAGCTATATCTGATCTTTGCTCTCATTTTGATAACATCTTCTTATTGTTTTCTTACTCGCAGCTCTTCTTTGAAATAACTTTACCTTCTCAGCATCTCTCCATCTAAGAAGTGTCATGGCTAAGGCAGAAAAGAGGTTATATAGTATACAAGCAGTATACACCAGGACTTTGATCCTTGTACTGTTTACTATTTATCTGTACGCTAGCTAACTGCGTGAGCAATTTTCTATACCTTTTTTGTTTGCTGTCTGCTGCCTATAGCTCTTGTCTATAACTTTTTTATAGCATGTGTTTTAATATCTGAAATGGTTTGCCAGAACAGCCAAACCCTGCCCTAAAGAATTACCTAATGTTTAATGTTTCCCTTTCGTGTGTGTGTGTGTGTGTGTGTGTGTGTATGTGTGTATGTGTGTGTGTATGTGTCTGTGTGTATGTGTTTCAGGTGTGAGTCAGGGCAACAGCAGGTATGACTAGGTAAGCATAAAAATGTTCATAGGGACTGCATCCTTTATTTTGTAACTACCTGGCCAGTGTCACGTCTCAGCAGTCAGAATAGCATGGGACCACCACTGTCTATCGATCTGGTCTCAGGGCTAAGAGACCAGGTACATCTTTTGTCTGCTAGCTCCTCCAGCAGCCAATTCAGCCAATTTAGGCTAAAGAGTCAGTACCTTACTTGCTTTCATAGACAGAAGAAAACAGGAAATTAATAGTCCTGTCTAACTTAATCAGAGAATCTTAAGGGACCAAAGTATCAGAACCAGTAACATATAAATGCAAATCCTGTGATAGCCAAATTGGCTTTTCTCACCCAGAAAAGATGGGTGACCAGGGCCTCAGGGCCAGCTTGCAATCCCACAGTGGTGGATGAAGAAGCGTCCTCTGTGTACCACTTGCTATGTTCTTAGCACTGTTCCATGCAGCTTGGCAAGCCTTTAATCACTTGGCCGTGAGGTATAAATATCATTCTTCTGTTAGGAAAGCTGAGGCTCAGAGAGGCTGATTGCCACAGAACACATACAGAAAAGCAACAGAACCATGATTATGCTCTTTTGCTGACTCTGGAATTTGGTGCTTCTTGTGCTCTTTGAAAAGTGGTCAACCATATTGTTGAGCACTGAAATGGTTGGTAGGTTTTAATGCTCTTGGTGGCTGATAGCAAGATCCTGAAGCTGAAGACCTTACCTGCTACAAGTGAGCTTAGTTGGGTGGTTTAAAGTTTATAAAGTGTCCTCAGATACATGCACCTTGTTTGCTCCATCCTCTGGACTAGTTGGCTAGCCACTTTGACAGCCAGCATTTATAGTACCTAGAAGAGACCTCAGCATATTACCTGGGTATGAGATTTTTTTACTACTTTTTTTTAAAGACAGGGTCTCGGGCTGGAGAGATGGCTCAGTGGTTAAGAACACTGGTTGTTCTTGCAGAAGAGCTGAGTATGAATCCCAGCATCCACATGGCAGCTAACAACTGTCCGTAACTCCAGTTCCAGGGGACCCGAAGGCCTCTTCTGTCTTCTGAGGGCATTGCACGACATGGATGCACTTACCTACATGCAGGCAATACACTCATACACATAAAAATAGTAAATAAGATATATTTTTTAAAAGATTTAATTAAAGATAGGGTCTCCCTATAGCCCCAGTTGCCCTGAAACTCGCTGGCCTTGATCTCACAAAGATCCCCATGCCTCTGCCTCCTAAATGCTGGGATTAAAAGCATGCACCACCATACCTGGCTACTTTGCGCTTGTTTCATTACAGACATGAGCTGGTTCATCTTGTAAGAAACAGAGAAGGAAATTTTGGAAAGCAGTGCAAGTCACTTACTTTTAGAAATGACTAGTTTTACTTTGTTTTTGATTGTTTGAGACTGGGTCTCACTGTGTAGCCCTTGCTGGTCTAAAACTTACTACATAACCCAGGCTATCCTCAAACTTACAGAAATCTGCCTGCTTCTGCCTTCCAAGTACTGGGATTAAAGGCATGCAGCACTAAACACAGCTTTTTTTTTTTTTTAAATGTTCTTTCAAAGTAAGGAAATGCACTGTAGTATCTAACCAGGCCAGCATGCAAATATTTTTAATACTTTTTAACCACAGCTCCCTGAAAGTAATTGCACTAATTGATTATTTTTTTAAACATTCATACATTTTTTTCTATAAACAAATGACTCAGAAATTGAATGCTGACCACTGTGTTGTAGATTTCTAGCCAGCTGCTGTGTAAGCACAGGTGTCCATGAGTGTAGTGTAGGACATGTAGTTCTTGTTTAGAAGCCTTTTGATTCTCCTCAGGTAAATGACAATAGCAAATAACAAGAAATCTTTTAAAAATTTATAGTCATGGGGGCTAGAGAGATGACTCAGCGGTTAAGAACACTGACTGTTCTTGCAGAAGACCCAGGTTCAAATCCCAGCACCCACATGGCAGCTAACAACTGTCCATAACTCCAGTTCCAGGGGATCCAATAGTCTCTTCTGTCCTCCACGGGCATTGCAGGACACGGGTGCACTTACCTGCATGCAGGCAATACACACATACACATAAAATAAAAATAATA